GTGGACACTGAAGAATACAGTTGTTACAGCATTGGTGACAGAGTGAACATAATGAAAGGAAAATTATGACTTAGTGTTATTACAAAAAGAGTTGGCCTCACAGATCTCCCAGAAGAGTATTGGAATCCACAGGGGTCCACAGACCACACTTTGAGAGCCACAGGATTAGTTTAGATTATCTTTGGAAGATTCCTATCAGAGGACAGTAACAGGAATTGCCTTTGAGGAGGGAGACTTTATTTACTGTTACATTGTATACTTTTGAAGTATCTGAACTGTTACTATTCAGATGTTTTTTCATGTTTTTTTTTTAATTGTTTTATTATTCATATGTGCATACAAGGCTTGGGTCATTTCTCCCCCCTGCCCCCACCCCCTCCCTTACCACCCACTCCACCCCCTCCCTCTCCCCCCCACCCCCTCAATACCCAGCAGAAACTATTTTGCCCTTATCTCTAATTTTGTTAAGAGAGAGTATACGCAATAATAGGAAGAAACAAGTGTTTTTGCTGGTTGAGATAAGGATAGCCAAACAGGGAGTTGACACACATTAATTTCCTGTGCATGTGTGCTACCTTCTAGGTTAATTCTTTTTGATCTCACCTTTTCTCTAGTTCCTGGTCCCCTTTTCCTATTGGCCTCAGTTGCTTTTAAGGTATCTGCTTTAGTTTCTCTGCGTTAAGGGCAACAAATGCTAGCTAGTTTTTTAGGTGTCTTACCTATCCTCACCCCTCCCTTGTGTGCTCTCGCTTTTATCATGTGTTCACAAAGTGTCCTATCTTTAAACATCTTAAATTTCAAAGATAATGGGGAAATGGTATAAGTACTTAGGTAAGAGAAACAGGTTGAGCTACAGAACTTGTTTTCTATAGCACTCAGTCCTGGGAGACAATAAAGCAACATTCAACAGTATTGAAAAAAAATAGTTGAATCACTCCTCAGCCTTTTGGCTAAGATCAAGTGTAATATCTGTTCTAATCTGTTTAATATCTGATACGTCTTCTATCAGAGGACAGTATATTAAATGGATTTTTAGAACGGGGAAATAGAATAGGAGCTTTCTCAGTCCACTCCACACATCAACCTGGTGTTGAAGTACCTCCAGCAAGAGTGCACCCCTTTAGGGGATTTAAAAAAAAGAAATAATTATGACCCATCAAACTTGTATCTGGCCATGAATTTATTTATTTGCAAAGAAATCAGGCATTTTTAGATAGGAAAGAGGTTTTTTTTCTTAATCTCAAGTAAAATAAAAGCAAGGTTCAGAAATGTGTGTACAGTGTGCTACCTTTATGTAAAGAAGGAAAAGGTAGATTATATATTTGTTTAGCATATGTAAAAAAATTCTGGAAGGAACTGGGTGCTGGTGGCTCACAACTATAGTCCTAGCTACTCAGGAGGCAGAGATCAGGAAGATTACAGTTCGAAGCCAGCCTGAGGCAAATAGTTCCTGAGACCCTATCTCAAAAAAACTCAATACAAAACAGGGCTGATGGAGTGGCCCAAGTTGTAGAGTGCCTCCCTAGCAAGCCTAGCAAGCATGAGGCCCTTAGTTCAACCCCTAGTACTGTCCCCTGCTCCCCAAGAAAGAAAGAAAGAAATTGTGGAAGGATATACAAGAAACAAATATGGAACAGTAACAGAGCAAGTAAAGTAGCTGATGGGCCTAGAAGATGAGGGACCTCATGGGAGGAAAACTATTACTTTTTTTTTTTAACCATGTGAATGTGAATATGCTACCTACCTACCATAGGAGCTAGGCATTGTGGTACATACCTGTAATCCCAGCACCTGGAAGCTGCAGCAGGAAGAGCTCAAGTTTGAGGCCAGCCTGGGCTGTGTAGCAAGACTCTGTCTGAAAAAAGGAAGAGAAACTTCTAAAAATTCTAATTCAGAATTAATTAGCTTAGATCTCATTGGTTCTTGTGAATGTCAATATCAAATTGAAATTACATGTAAAATCCAAAATATGTTCTTAGTAAAAGGCTTATAATTTTAAATATAGTTATCATAATCCACATGTTAACAAAGAAATGGAAGATGGTCAGAGCAGAGAAAGAAGATGGGAGTAGGGATTTGGTTTTGACATACATAAATTTAGGAAATAGAGTTAAAATAATATTTCTACCTTCAATATCACTACAGAAGATAACCACAACAAAATGAAAGGCATAGAAATACAAAAGAAACAAAAGCTTGAATGCTGAAGCTGCAACATACCTGACATGTTACTAGAAATTAATACAAGTGGAACTAAACATGAACATCCCAGTGGTGGTTATTTTCCTCAAAGTGATTTTTTTGCAATTGTGGAAGCAATCCCCTGATTGCCACTAATAAATCATCTTTTTTCCTTCCATATTGCAGTTTTTGCTGGCAACTGCTTATGCAAAAACTGTATTTGTTAGAATCCTTCACTTAGAATCTAAGTGAAGCAAAGTAACAAATTCACACAAATGGAGTGTGATTGCAGAGAATGTATATCATTTTCAGATTGTGGCTGAGATTTGTCTCTTCTCTTTCCCTGTCTACCAGATATAGGGGACTCTGAGGCTCAAAAGATGGTGGATTGTAAAATGAAAGAAGTTGTTTGTCCGGATTAACATATGGGGAGTCCCTTCAACCTGCCCAGTAGGAATACCTGTAATTCAGTGTTGTATACAATTAGTGACCCTGAGATTTTGAGTTTGTTGCATCATTTTATGATTCCGTAACTTTTACAAAAAGTAATACACTTATCTCAATGAGTCTAAAAAAGAAAGAAAAGCTTAAGCCAAATATTAGTTATGACAATAAGTAAGTCCCTATTGAAGGGAAAACCAGATTGGGTTACAGTTTTTTTCTAAAAAGAAAAGTCAGAAAGGGAAGCTAGGTGCAAATATATTAGGCTTTGTATATAGTTGGTCTACATTTATTTGAATATTTATTTGATGGATAAGTTAAAATGAGGTGTACTTTCATTTTATATTGCTAGGTTACAAAGAAAGATTAGTGTTTTTGAAAATAGATTGTAAGTGTCTTTCTATGATCATAGTGCAGTAAAAAAGAAGTTATAGAGGTTTGTTTTGATTTGGGTTTTGGTTTGTTTTATTTTTGTTTTTGCTTCTGGCAATTTAAAAACCCTCCTAAATAACTATTAGGTTGCCGGTGTGGTGGTTCATGTCTATAATCCCAGCTCTCCAGAGGCCTCTGCAGGAGGATTTTGACTGTGAGGCCAGCTAGGACAAAGTTAGCAAGATCCTATCTCCAAACAAAACTTCAAACAAAAGGACTGGGGAACATGGCTCAAGTAGTAGAGCACTTGCATAGCAAGCTTAGGGCCTTGGGTTCAATCCCCAGTATCAGAAAATAAATAAATAAATAAATAACTTATCAGGTCAATAAAGAAGTAAGATACTCATACAAAGTATTAAGAAAATAATGAAAGAAATGGAAAGGTTATCAAAGTTCTGCTCAGAGATAAATTTGTTTTAAGACCCTCCCTACATACGTAATAGCATTGCATCTAAAGTTGGCAGTGCAATAACATCGACTGATTAGTGACCTGCTCGTTGGAGGCAGTTCTTGGAAGATGTAAAACAACCTAGGAACCAACACCTGCAGAGCAGGAAAACAGCAGCATCACCATTGATTTCAATAGTTTTAAATAAAAAAGATTATCCTCTCTAGCGACTCTACTTACAGAGAAAAAAAGACGAATCTCTTAGAAAGGACGTAGCAGAGATTTTAATGGAAAACATAATTTTGGACACAATATTAAAATATGAGCATTTCCTGTATTATTAAACATTCTTAGAAAGTATTTTTGACTGTGTAGCTTTCACTTAGCTCAGCAATTTACTCAACATTTGTTGTGGGCATTTTAGTTGCTTGTAAATTTTGCAGTTAGGACTGTCACTTGGGTAATTACCTCTGAACCCAAATCTGTTACATTTCCATCTACCCTAGGGTGGATAAAATTAGATGGGATCATTACATGGACATAAACATTTATTGCCCAGTTACTTCTTAGAAGTTTATGCCCATTTATGTTGTCCAAATGGTGTGTGATGGTGTCCTTTTCACTGTGCCCTATAAGCATCATCTTTGCACATACTTTCCTAAGCCTAAGGGATAAAAGGTAAAGGAGGGTTCAGGTTGTAGCAGTCACTTAGAAAGAAGGAGGGTGACACAGCTGATGTGTCACTAGAACTTTCTACCTCTGTTCTGTGAGCAGAGCCTGGCTGACTGCATAGAAGGAACCTGGAAGCAGATACCAAGTGTGGTGTAGAGAGGTTGTAAGGGGCTCTTAACCAAGGCCACCGCTGTTACCACCCACCCCAACCAGCACCACCATCCCCCAGTCAAGAAATGCTGGGTAGAGCATTTCCAAAGTGATACTTTCTTGGGCTGTTTACCAAAGTTGGGGCCTAAAGAAATTTTCACAAATAAAAGAGCTCTTCTGAGTCACCAGGAGGTCACTTTTCATTTGAATAAGGCTTTCTTTAATAGAGTAATTCATTTGTTCATTTAACAAGTTTTTATCAGGCTTTTCTCTATTCTTAGCCCTGAATGATGGAAATACAAAAGAAGCAGTTCTCTTCCCTCCAGGACTTTATCATCTAGTTGTGAAGAATAAGAAATGCACACATGAAAAATACAACTAAGAATGCAAAGTAGTCCTCAATTAAGTGCCATAATGAAAGCTAACCACAGTTGATTAGTGGTTTGGAGTAATGAAGATTTTCTCATAAAAATGGGTGAGGACTAAGATGATTAGAAATGAGATTTCCCTGAGATAGCGTTGGCTTTGAAAAACTTCACCTCAGGGGGAGTGGAGCAGTTCTTTCTGCTCCCTCACACTTTCTTAGGGGCATGAGGCTCCAGGTTTCTGCCTTACTGATGCTTATCTCAGAGCCATACCTGGGCTTTCCCTCTGTAATGCTGAGTTAGTGTAATTACACCTGGTGTAGTGAGTAGAGGCAAAGAGGCTTGACATATTAACTCTTTCCTAACATTTTTATACATCATACCTACATTTGAACCAAGACAAGAAGTAGCTAAGTAAATGTTAACATTCAGTAATGCTATAATATCAATTGTACTATGCCCTGTCCTGTGTTAGGTTTTTTTAAAAATATGTTTTTTATGGTATTTCAGATTCACGGAAACAACTACTCTCATAAAGTGGACATCTTTTCTTTAGGCCTCATTCTATTTGAATTACTGTACCCATTTAGCACTCAGATGGAAAGAGTCAGGGTAAGTATCCTCCTCAAAAGAAGGTTGAAAAAGAAAATAAGCTAACATTTGCTAAAGAAAGAATTGCCAGGAGAACCATGGAGTAACAGGAGTGGGGAAGATAGTGGTAGCAGTTGGCCAGAGAAAATTTTTCCAGAGGACAAGTGGCCACACAACTCAAAGACTTTTAAAAGCTGGCAAGTTACACATCATTCATTTTTTTCGTTCTCAGAATAAACTTTGACCACAGCTTTTAAGACAGTACTCAAGGACTTTTAAAAGTAAGCCTATAGCCAAGCACCTTAAATCCCAGCTACTCAGGAGTCAGAGATCAGGAGGATTGTTGTTCAAAGCCAGTTCCGGCAAGTAATTCACAAGACCTTATCTCAAAAATACCCAACACAAAAAAACAGAGCCGGCAGAGTGGCCCAAGTGGTAGAGCACCTGCTTAGCAAGTGTGAGACCCTGAGTTCAAACCCCAGTACTGCCAAAAAAAAGTAAGCCTATCACATTCTTCCCCATACCTTGTAACTCTTCTAGTTGTTGTCCCTGGTATTTACCTTTCAATTTCCAAAATTTATGTTCTTATCACTACTTCTTAATTTATCAGTTTTAGATCTGTTTTAATTGATTTCTGGCCTTAGTAGAAGAGGAGGAAGTTCTCATAAGAACCAAAAGATTCATATCTTCTAACTAGAAGGAACTATCAAGTGTTCTGTACAATAAATGGAGAAAAAGTAAACAAAGCAACCAAATTTCATGACACTAGAATTAAGGACCCTAAAATCTTCCAAAAAGGAAAATAAAACAGGTCCAACCTAAGTAAGTAAGTTGGGAACCAAACTACATCAAAATGTATGGGCTATAACAAAGAACACTACCCAGAAAGTGAAAAGATAGGGGTAGAAGGCTTACCCTAGCATGCATGAGACCCTGGGTTCAATCCTTAGCACCACACACAAAAAAATTTAAATAAATCCACATGTCAAAATAAATAAATTTTCTTTCCTTTCAGACTTTAACTGATGTAAGAAATCTCAAATTTCCACCACTGTTTACTCAGAAATATCCTCGTGAGGTATGTATAATTCTCATCCCTCATTTTCCTTAAAATCATATTTAGAAGTTAAAGTGTCCTTGACAGTCAACTTCTCAGTTTCATCATTTTACAGATAGGGAAGCCAAAGAGAGTAAAGGGCCCTCTCCCAAGACCACACCATTTGTTAGAACTTCTCAGCCCAGCACCCCACAGAGGTCAGGCTGTGTGTCAGCTGCCCTGACCCATTGCTTAAGTAAGGCTGAACTCCTAGGGCACCCTCACAGGAACAGGGTCACGGTTATGATCAAACCATCAATCTCTTTACTTTGATGAACTTGCTAGAGATCTTTTAAAAATGACTTAGCCTTAAAAAAACAAAAGTTGCTAATTTCTGTTGATTATGGGTATAATCAACAGAGGAAGATTGAGAAGAGAAAATCAAGCTGCTCTTTAAATTGTCTTTCTTTTTACAGATTTTGTTTATTTTTATTTCATAGTATGTATGGTCTACAAACATCATTTTAAAATTTATACATTGGTAAAATCTTGAATTTTCTTAAATAATTAAGGTTGAAGTAAATTATAGTATATGTTAATGATCAAATCAGAAAAGGGCAAGATTTAACCCAATATTATCAGTATAATGAAGGGTTGCATAAAAAATTAACTTTATAAAATTTAATTTTTAAAATGTTTTAAAAAATTGTTACATTTTTCAAAGTTGAGTGTATTTTCAGGGTGGCTTATAAGAATATATGGCACATTAAAAAAGTATTTTAAAAATCATGAGAAAGTGTTGGGTACTGATCTCTGGCATGGTTATTTTTTAATTAAAATTTTTACCAAGATAATTATACATTTGCATGCAGTAGTAAGATTATTTTTAAAAGCAGATGGTGTCTGTGCTTCAAGCATGTGATTTTAAAACATTTTATAATATGTTAGAAAAATACCAATTACCACCAAAATGGTTCATATTTATTTGGAGCAGAGGTTGGCATACTAGGGCCCATGTTCAGCTCCAACCTGCTACCTATTTGGTAATAAACCTTTATTGGAACACAACCATGCTGTTTGGTTTGCATATTGTCTATGACTGTTTTGTGACTTCTACATAGCAAACTGCATTAGTTGTATCAGAAACTGTATGGTTCACAAACTTAAATTCAGAAAAACTTTGCTGGGTCTGGGAATGTAGCTCAGTGGTAGAGAGTTTACCTAGCACAGGCACACACAAAGCCCTGGGTTCGGTCCTCAGCATTGCAAATAAAATAAAGTTGCTTAGTGATCTAAATCTGGCCCTTTTATCAAAAACGCTTTTTGTATTTCAGTATCTGATGGTTCAAGACATGCTTTCTCCATCCCCCATGGAAAGACCAGAAGCCACAAACATCATTGAAAATGCTGTATTTGAGGACTTGGAGTTTCCAGGAAAAGGAGTGCTCAGACAGCGGTCACGCTCCTTGAGTTCATCAGGAACCAAACACTCAAGACAGCCTAGCAGCTCCCACAGCCCTTTACCCAGCAATTAGCCTTCTTGTGCTAGCAACCCAAGCAGGTAACACAGAATAGCCACCTCTGAAGAATGTGGTTTTCCAAAACGGTGGACTCGAAAATTTTATTCTTCACTCAATTTTATTTGGACTGGTTTTTCTAAGTCAAACTGAAACTGGATTTTAGGACCTAACCTAATTTGAGCCAACTCTTGATTTTTGCTGTACTTAGAGTCTCTGTCTAAATGCCATGTGGTCCTTGTTCTTTTATAGTTTCTGAAACTAGCTGACCCAGATTTATAGCCTTTACCTTTTAGGAGGTAGAGGCAATCTCTAAAATATAGAGAGATTTAAAATGGAAATATTTTATAGTACAGAAGAATGTAAGTCCTCCCCTATGGTAACTATTGTTCTAGAAATATGCTTTCTAGAGATATGATGATTTTGAAACTGATTTCTAAAAAAGCTGACTCCGTTTTGTCCCTGGTGGGTAAATGACAAATCTGCACTATTTTGGAGGACAGGTAGCACAAGCTGTATAAATTTGTGTCTGTAGTTTTATAGTTCTATTTGTAGCATTAACTAGCTTTATTCCTTAGATAGTTTTAGGGAGAGTTTAAGAGCTTTTGTATTTTTACCTCCGATAAAGGAAAATGAAGCTTTTTATGTAAATTGGTCAAAAATTCTGGTTTGAGGAAAAAACCTATAATAAGAAATGATTATCTATTACAACTTAACTTTCAATTTATGAACGTTTTAACCTAATAAAATGCATCTTATATGTAATCTGTAATCCTGTAGGTTGGTACATCCCCCAGATTGATTATAGATAAGTTTAATCATCTCACTTGCTAACATGTTTTTATTTTTTCCTGTAAATATGTTTATTTTTTATTTATAAAAATTCTGAAATCAATCCATTTGGGTTGGTGGTGTACAGAACACACATAAGTGTGTTAACTATTGTGACTTTTTTCAAGTCTAAATGATTTAATAAAACTTTTTTAAATTACTTATGGTTGATGCTTATTTTGGGAGGAATAAGTTCTGAAAGGCAGATTTCCTAATTTACAAAATGGGACTATAGGTATTTGAAAGGTAACAAACCTACTGTCAGTAAAACTTATTCTTAACCTATTCGAGACAAGTGTTCTTCCAATTATTTCTAAGGACTTGACAGAGCCCTTTCAAAATTCACAGGATTCATAATCCCTAGATGTTGTTGGGAATAGAAAGAAGGCCCTGATCTAAAGGAAGAGCTCACAGAGAAAAGATGTGGCAATGCTGGCTGTGTTGATGTCACAGTATCCCATATGTGCCCCATGAAAGCATGTGACACCCTGGGCTGACTTGGGCACACTCTTTGAGGCTTAAATGCATGAGTTTTCCATCTCAGACAAAGAGTATTTACCACACAAAGTTATGAGCAGTTTGTAAGCCAGGAAAATACTCCCTAAGTATTTGTGGACTGTATCCAGACTCAGATGTAGCACTGCTGCTCAGATATCATCTTCATCCAAGGTGCTGCTTGGCTCGTGGCCAGCTCACCCTGGTCCTCTCCATCTCTTGGCCAGCTCGTTCTAGTTGCTGCTCCCTACTCTCTTCCTGTTGATTTCCCACCACAACTTACTCAGCCCTCTGAAGATCATCAGCCCCTACTGCAGCCCTGGGAGCTAGCCTTGGCAGGCACTCTTACTACCTGCCATTCTACTTAAGTCCAAACTCAGGTCCAGAAAGGTGCTATGATTTCTTCAAAATGGCAAAGCCAGCAAGAGCAGGACTGGACCCAAAGCCCAGGTATTCTGATTCTCAGTGTTTTGTGTATTCCCTTATACCATGATACCTGAGGTTTTGTAAATTCTCAGATATTGTAATTTGGCCTTCAGCCATTTTAATCCTGGATATGCCTTTGTTTGCCACCTTCAGAAACGTAGATCTAAGGATGGGGAGACCAAGGGGCTGGACCGGCAGCACTTACCAAGTCCATAATGGTAGCCAGGCTTGTCTCCTGCATTCTCACCCATCTGTCTACAGACCCAAGCCCACCTCCCCCTTCAAGTGCTATTGCTTTACTGGCATCTTTCCAAACCCCCCTACAGCCCATGCACACACTGACCTCTGCTTTTAGCACTTTGCACTAGCTACACTTACCGTTGTCAGGCTGCAGGTTAGCCAGCAGCTCCAATACAGCCCTGAGAGCTGTCTCTGCACAATGTCATCAAGTGCTTCAAGACATGCTTAAACTGGTGGTTCATGCCTGTAATCCTAGCTACTTGGGAGGCTGAGATCTGGAGGACCAAGGTTTGAGGCCAGTTGGGGCCAGATAGTTCACGAGATCCCATCTCCAAAATAAGCAGAGCAAAATAGACTGGAGTACATGGCTTAAATGGTAGAGCATCTGCTTTGCTAGTTAGTATGAAGCCCTAGGTTCAAACCCCATTCCCACCAAAAGAAAAAAGAAAAATATGTACCCAATTAAATGCAAAAGAGGGAAATGTATCTTTTAGGTTTTAAAGTAGCAGCAACTAATAATACATCCCATTCCTGGGAACATTTGCTGTCCCCAAACTAGATTGTCAGGGCACTGCTTATTGCCTTGGAGGCTTCCCCCTGAAGATTCCACTCCTATAACTACATTAGCTACCACCAGGTGGCACATTCCCACCTTTTCCGGCAAAAAGTATGCAGACAGCTGAAGGAAATAATATTCTTTAATCCACCCCAAACATCCAAGGCATCATGAGATCAGAAAGCACACTAACAGGAGACCTAAACATATCATATATTGCAAATTTCAACTGCAAAAAGTCCTATAATGCGTTTGCTATGAATTGCTTTCAGATTTCTCATGTGGATAATTAAAACAATAAAGATAAGAATGACATGTGTCTAGCTACTTGCAACAACTCTTAGTATCCCTCCCTAGTCCCTTTTTCAGTGCCTTCCCCTTTGGATCACTGGAATAGCTCTCTTCACTGATTCCTCTGGGAGGACCAAGAAAAGTTGGAACAGGGAAGGCTTAGGAGGAAATAAGGAAGAGAGTTCTCAATAGTGGAGGTGAAGAGAAGTAGACCAATTTAAGTATTATTGAGGCAGAAAGGTCAAGACACTGAAATTAACCAACTGTAGATGGGGAAACAATGGCTTCAAATTTCCGATGTGGGAAATTCCATAAAATCCAGGAGTGTATGATTTAGGGACAGAAGGAATGACCCCTGTTCCACAAATGTCCCCTTGTGATGAGTTTCCCAGAATTTGGTGGTAAATCATTGGAGCTTTATTAGCATATGGAAAGCCATAGAAAGTTTTCAAACTGAGGGAGAATATAATGACAGATTTTAAGGTCACCATGGCAATTGAGGAAGAGGGTTGACTAGACTGAGAGAACTGGAGTCAGGAACCAGGCAGGAGGCCACAGCCATTATTCAGCATGAGGTCAGAGGGCCTGAGCCAGGTCAATGGTTGCTGAAAGACATTCCTGTGGAGGAACTAAGCATGTGTGGCTCCTAGCAAGCCAGAGGAGCACTCAGTTACTACTCTTCAGTGTTAAATTGTTGAAGGACTTGGTGGGGAGGTGGGTGCTGTGCTGAGTAGAGCGAGCCCACTGCATTCCTAAATGATGTTAGGTTTTAATAGCACCTAGAGGGCTGGGGGTGTGGCTCAAGTGGTAGCACACTTGTCTAGCACGTGTGAGTCCGAGTTCAATTCCCCAGAACAAGAAGAGGAGGGAGGGAAGGAGGGAAGGAAGGAAGGGAGAGAGGGAGGAAGGGAGGCCCAGAGAATATCATCTTTTGCACAGTGCATGTGCCTCCCATGAGGGTCCTGGAAGAATGTTCACTACGCAGAAGCCAGAAGCCCACCCAGAGGGAGTGAGAGCTTTGATACAGAGAAGTAATGAAGGAGAAAAAAGTGCTCCTCCCCAAAGGAGAGAGCCAAGGGATCTTCTGAAGACATATTCAGAACAGCTGAATAAATGAAGCTACATGCGCACTATGGGTATCGTGAAACTATGAACACAAAAGAGTCAGCAGCACAAGCAGGTGAATGGCAAATACAAGGTGCAAAATTCACAGGCATGAAGTTCTTGGGTTGTGTGTGTGTGTGTGTGTGTACGTGCGTGTGATTACCGGAGTTTGAACTCAGGGCTTTGTGCTTGCTAGGCAGGCACTCCATTGCTTGAGCCACTCTCCCAGCCCTTTTTGTATTGGGTATTTTCAACATAGGTCTCTGGAACTTCAAGTTGTGATCCTCCTGATCTCTGCCTCCTGAGTAGCTGGGATTATAAGCAGTGAGCCACTGGCACCCAGTGGGCATAAGGTTTTTAAAAGCTCCACACCCAAACACTGCGCTAGTTACCTTGGGGATGTCAGGAGAGAGTGGAAGGAGATTATTGACTTCCAGACGTATCTCAGTATTCTTGGGCTTCTTTCTGATGATGTAATAGCTTTGTGATTAATAATTGCATTTGTTTTATTTTGATTTTTAATACTAAGAACTGAATCCAGGGCTTTGCACATACTAGGCATTCACTCACTCTGCCATTGGGCTACATCCACAGACCAATGATATTAAATTAATAAAATAGGGGGGCCGGTGGAGTGCCTCAAGTGGTAAGAGTGTCTGCGTAGCAAGCATGAAGCCCTGAGTTCAAACCCTAGTGCCACCAAAAAAAATTAATAAGTAAAAATCCAATAAAGAGAATTTGCAATATCTTAACTGATCTTATTGCTCTGCTTTATAAAAGAAGTTAACACGATCTCATTTAATTCTACCAGGATCTTTGCAAAGCAGATAATGTCACTGCTGTTTTACATGTGAGGAAACAATGCAACAACTAAAATAACTACATTAACATAACAGGGAGCTTATAATAATCCGTATTATCACTCCACCAGTCACATTTGCGTAATAATTCCCACTTCTCCAAATTCTCTCCAATCTAGAGGGCATTTTCTAGCAATGACAGGTGCTCAGGCAGCATTGGGCTTTGGAATCTTAGCCTGCTGCATTACTTCTTGTTTACAGTTTCCCTTCAGCTCTCTAAACTGCCTACTACAACAAGTAGCCCTTGTGAAGATTAAGCAATAAAACATTTAACCTTTAGCATAAAATCTGGTAAACAGACTTCAAAAATTGGAGACTTAAAATGAAATCACAACTTAAGTTTCCTCACCTCTAAAATGGGTGTAATACCATTGGCTTGTAGGTTGTTGTGAAGATTCAGTGACATTTAAGTAGCCATACAGGACTGGTGGAGTGGCTCAAGTGGTAGTGTGCCTGCCTAGCAAGCCTAGCAAGTGTGAGGTTCTGAGGTCAGGCCCCAGTACCACCAAAAAAAATCATACAAATAGGGCTTTATGCAAATACATGGTGGGAGAGAGAAGTAGAGAAAGAACCCCGTTGGATATGCCAGAGGTATACAAAGGTAGAAAGGAAGAAAACAGGAGAGGAAGAAAAAGGGAAAGAAAAACAACGGCACAGTAAAACGCAGCCTATAAAACCACAATGTTTCTGGGGGAAAAAATGGAGACTTTGAATACGGAAGTTACAAACAGAGGCTGGCATTTGATTCTGTAAAGGCAAGGTTTTATGCAAATGGGAAAATACGGTTATGTCAAAAACAGCCCTTGTTAGACAAGGGGTTGGCGAGGGCTAGGAATGACTCCCTCCTTCCAGGACTTTGAGCCCAGACTGCCCGGCAGCAGGGCAGCTAGCGCCCCTCCTGCGGCTCCCCAGCGTTGCCGGAGGCTTTGAGAGAGAAAAGATGCTCAGATGCTGCACGGCCGCTCCAGGCTGGGGTCGGGAACCCGGCTCCGGCGCAGCCGGGAGTGGCGCCAGGATTGTTGTTG